AGTATCGAGGCATAAAACTGATTTTCCTTTCTTTTCTTTTTTTAAAAAAACTGTTGGTTTGAGGATTGAAGAGTTAGAGATTAAAAACTGATTTGGACATAATGATTTATGTCTCTAAGTGCTGAATTATGATTGTGCTGTTTGAATCAGATTGTTTTACAGCCTGTGAGCTCAAAGTAGGAGCTGAAAAATCAGTTTCAAGTTACTGCATTATGCATTCGTGTGGTGGCTAGTGAATCATGACCTTAATTCAAGACATGACAAAGCATTGAGCTTGTTTTCATTAAATGAAGCCACCACACTAACCAAAAGACAGCATCTGTGGTAGTAGTAAAGATTACGTAAATTAAACATATAGTATTTGTGAAAGTAGTGTTCAGATATTGTCAAAATACTTGACTTATGGTTGTAGGTTGTAAGTTATGATATTTGTTGGCTTAATTTAAATCTTTTTTGGAATAATTTCACTAAACAAGTAATGATAATTACAGCATGCATAATGAAAGTTGTAACTTCTGTCATGGCATTTGCAACTCAATTATTTGTACCCCAAATTACATCTATTTGGACCCAAATTTCACTACACACGTAATGGGATTAACAACATTCGTAATGCAAGTGACCACTTCCGTATTACCATTTGCAACTCGTTTATTTTAAACCAAAGTAACATGTATTTGGAGCCAATTTCACTACTCCGATAATGATAATGACAACATTTATAATATGAATTACAATTTTTGTAATGAGAGTTATCATCTCGCTATTGTTATTTGCAACTCGTTTATTTTAAACCTAAGTAATATATATTTGGAGCTAATTTCACACTCCTGATAATGATAATGACAAAATTTGTAATGTGAATTACAACTTTCGTAATGAGAGTTACAATTTCGCTATTGCCATTTGCAACTGGTTAATGTGAAATGAATTTAACATGTATTTGGAGCCAATTTTACTACCCTAATAATGATAATGATAATATTTGTAACGTGAATTACAACTTTTGCAATAAGAGTTACTATCTCGCTATTGCCATTTGTTAACTCATTTCTTTCAAACCCAAATAACATCTATTTTCAGCCAATTTTACTACCCCGATAATGATAATAACAACATTTGTAATGTGAGTAACAACATTTGTAATCAAATTAACCACTCCGGTCATGCCCATTGGCAACTTCCGCCATCTCCCTTGGAGGAATTAAGCAAATGGTAAAAATGTGTTGACAAAATAGCATACAAGTACACCTGAAGAACATCATGATATGTTTATATTAACATTCAGACTTTACTACATGTATAATGGAATTGACTACTGAAGTGATAATATTTACCAAAAACCAGTACGCCTATGACAGAAGTTACATAACTTGTATTCAAATGACAAGTTAACATTAAGATTAAACCACCACCTAATGTTTCCTTGTCATTCAGATTACAAACATATCCTACCCAGTTAACATCATTTACAAAAAGGATAACCTCTCTATCAACTATTCTCCCAAAAAATTAAGGGTTCAAAAGTTATTCTATTTACACCAAAAAAATTACTCCTCAATGTTAGACCCAATGTCAGATGTCATCAAACCTGCTAACCTGCAACAAAGAAGCATAAATCAATATTTTAGTTACCCAATAATCAATTTCATTTATCTTTCGAAACACCCAAAAAATACACACACCTACTTACTCCATTGACAACTTAAATATAGGATTTTACAATTTCAGTAATGAATTTAACAACACTGACCACCTCATACTTACTGTTTGTCACCATTTTTCCATTTCCGACGCGTCACTCTCTCGTCCTGGTCAAATTATTCATCCAAACCCTCTACACTCACAGACCCATCCCCATTCGAGCATGCAGCAACAAAGAAATCGGGTGATACTAGCGTTTTAACGGAAAAATTACTTACCTTTTCCCTCTTTCCAGATTTCCACCATTGCTCTAGCTTCGTCTTCTCAGCCTCTCTCTCTTCTGGTATATTATTGTTTTCTTTGCAGTTCATATCTTCAGAGAGGTTGAGGGTATTTTAGTCTTTCTACCGAATTGACAAAATTCCAGATTGATACCCCATACCCATTTGGTCATTTCAGTTATTTGTATACCCATTTTGTCATTTCAAATTTCAACCGTCCTTTTTTTGTCATTTTCCATATTTATTTGTTACCCTTTTCATTTTTATTTGTCTCGGTCTTGGCAAAACCAGGTACAAAAAAAATCCTTGGTCGTAAAGCTTGCGTACAACTTTATTGTTTATAGTCTATATGTAATTTTATACATTGTAAAGACTGGATTGTGAAGGGTCCGGTTGAGAAGTAGAACCCCGCTCTTTGAGGGTATATTTAAATTAGCATTGGGCAAAACTGACTTCTATTCTAACTAACTTTTATAACTAAAGTTAGAGTAAAAATCAGTTACTGTAATGTGATTTATGTTTGGATAGGTGCTTATAAAAAATCAGTTAAAAAAGTTAAAAGTTGTTTGGATGATTAAATAGAAAAGTGAGTATAGTTTGAAATGGAAAAGTCATATTTTTCTCTGTTAAGTCCAACTGAGGTTAAAGGCCAGAAGTTGGTTGGCTTTTTAGTTCCATCCAAACAATCATTTGGTCCTAAATAAGTCATAAACTGTAGTTTCATGTTTTCTCATAGACTTTTACCATTGCAAATAGCAATCCAAACATATCCTAAGGGTATGTTTAGATTAGCGTTGGGCAAAATTAACTTCTAGCTCGACTGACTTTTGTAACTGAAATTAGAGTAAAAGTCAGTTAGAGTATGTTTGGATAGATGCTTTTAAAAAGTCAGTTGAAAAAGTTAAAAGTTGTTTGGATAATTAATAGAAAAGTTAGTTTAGTTGTAAAGTGACAGAAATGGATATGGACTTTATTGAATAACATTGTTTGAAATTTTATGTTTTTAATGTGATAATAGTTTAAAAAAAATAAAATTATTATGATAAAATATAAATAGTTTATTTGTGAAATTAAAAAATAAAAATATTTGTTACGGAGAAAAATTTAAAAACATATTATAGATAATTAATTAAATATATATAATGGATAAACATGAATATAAATTAAAATTTATTTGGTCTGAATAAAAGCTCATTATGCTAACAAAGGAGGTGAGGCAGAGGGAAAAATGTGAGGGTAAATTTGGGATATTCATTTTTAACGATTACCGTTTGAAATTGCAGTTTGAAAATTTAGATTTTCCTCTGTTGAGTCTAATTGAAGTTGAAGGTCAGAAGTTGGTTAGAAAAGTTACCCTAATCAAATAACGGTTTTTGTCCAACTTAATTTGTAACATCAGTTTCATCATTTCCAAGACACTTTTACTGTTAGAAACGGTAATCCAAACATGCCTTAAATGGTCCGCACAGGCTTCTTAGTCGACAAATGATATATAACCGCAGAATAAAAAATTCCAAATTCTGATTGAATTTTGCTGTGCTGAGGTGCTTTTAATCTATTTAATAATAAATTCGTGTGACTTGGCATAACATCTACGGTGTTTATTCTTCACAGGTGGCAGGGATAACTCATGTTGATGTGGTGCGTCGATGGAACAGAAACAGAAGATGAGACAAAACAAGAAAAATAAGAAGGGTTTTTTTTTTTTTTTTTTTTCCGGGGTTTTTTAGGCTTGATTTCATAATTATAATTTAAGACCTTACTCCTTCAAGTAATTTCCATTATTCAAATGATTATTTCGCTATTTTGTTATTTTAAGGGTTTTTTAATGCGATTTTCTCGCACACACATAACATAAATATATGTTTAATAAAACATATAAAATACTTTTAAAATAAAATTTATTATGTAATTATTTATAAAATATTACCTTTAATTTTTAATATAAGAGCTAATTTAACTCTCAATTTGGTCCTAAATATAAGACTTTAATTCACTTTACTTCTCATATTTATCTATTTTTTTTTCAAAGTAGTTTCTGTAGTAGCTGTACATGTTAAAAATTTAATTAAATACTCCTCCGGTCCTAATTATAAGACCCAATTGACTTATTTGAGGAGATTAAGGAAGTAAGTTAAGTTGGTTATTTATAATAAATAAGTGTTGTTATTCCTAAAATATCCTTGCTAATTAAGTATATTGGCTAAAACTATTATTATTAGAAGGATTATCTTGGAAAAAAATGCATAAATATAAGAGAGAAAATGGATTGGGTCTTATAATTAGGACCAAATAAAAAGTCAATTGGGTCTTATAATAGGATCGGAGGAGTAGTAGTTTTAGCTAATACATGATTAGCAACTATTTTTTTTAGAAAAGATAACACTTAATCATTACAAAATAATTAACCCAATAAACTTTTTTAATATACTTAAATTAGTCAATTAACTCTTATAATAAGGTTTGAAGGTAGTAATTAACTAATATTAAATATTACTTTACAATATGATATTTAATACTCTTCTGATCATTAATATAGGACTGAATTGGAGAGTTAACGTTAGCCTTAAATATAAAACTTATTTTACATGTTTATTAATTTTTTTTTCAAATTAACCATATTGATATTTTTTTAATAATACCCCAGTAAGACAGACAGGAAAGGGTTTAAAAAATATTCTTAAGGTGTTTTAAAAAAAATTATATTAACTAATTCAATTAACATTCTCAATCTATCAAAATTAATTAATTAAGTCTTACAGCAAAGATCAGAAGAGTATTTATAAAAAAATATTATTAAAATTTATAAAATAAAAGGTAAAAGACTACCGAAATTCTAGTAAGAAAATCAGTGAAATCATAAGAGATTGATAAAAATATTATAGAGACATGATTATAAATTAAGTAAAACTATAAAACTTCATGGAAACAAAAAAGAAGAAGACAGAATTAAAAGCAGGATTAAATCACAGGAGCTTCCAAGTTAATTTAAAAAATCAATTATATTATTATGCTAATTAAAATGCTTTTCCTTCTATTTTTATTCAGAAGAAGAAAGGTAAAATTCGTCAATTGCTTGCCCGTTTGCCCTACTTCCCCGGGCATTGTTCTCTCCCACACTGCTATTCAAGTTTCGATCTCATATATCCTCGTTCACTCGCCGTTTGCTCCCCCTTGTTCACTATCCTTCAGGTTCGAATTCTCCTGTGTTTTTCTTCAACTGTCAGTTGCTGTCTTTCGTTGGCAAAAAAGAAAAAAAAAAGTTGCTGTGTTTCTCGTTGATTTGCTTTCTGTTATTTCTTGCTTCGTCGTGATGCTATCCGTCGCGTGATGCTTCTCGTTCAATAATCATAATCGTGAAGCCTCTTTTATTGTTGATGTGACCTTTAACTAAACCTCTCACTATCACATTCTAGCTGTTGTAACGATGCCCCGAAGACCCAGAAGGCGTAGCCAACATTTGAAATCTCGGCCTTTGACATTCTCGCGTTTCGCTCGTTCAGTAGCCCAAATGGCCTCTACTTCCAAGTCTAATAAAAAATCTTATCGAAGCTTTGCAGGTAATCCCCGCCTCTACAGTAATGTGCAATTCATAGTTAGTTGATGCTTACAGTTTGCATAATTGCATCCCAGTTTCTAAGTCTCTAAGCCACTGCCCAGGCTATGGATTGGCTAAGCACACTTTGGAGGAGAAGACAGAGCAATCTGAGTCATCTGATGAAGAGTTTGAAGTAATTGTTCATATTTGATTTATTGTATTTAACATGTTCAAATTAAATTTGGGGAATAACTAGCAAATGATTAAAGTATCGTTTCTGTCGTTGAAGGGTGTTGTCCAAGCTGATTTTTCCTTCTTTGATCCTAAACCTGGTGACTTTCATGGAGTAAAGAACTTGCTCCAAACTTACCTGGATGATAAACAATGGGATCTGAGTGGCTTTGTTGACTTAATCTTGGAACAGACCACAGTGGGCACTGTTGTAAAAGTAGAGGATGATGAGGATGAGGGGCTTTTTGCTGTTGTGACTGCTCTGAACTTATGGAGATACAGGGTAAGTGACTTCACAGAAATTATTAGCTGCCATGTCTTGTTACCACCTTATCTATTGGCTGGCCTGAAATGTTATTATGTGAAATCATCTTTACTTCCATCTCATCCTGTTTCTTTTGCATTTATGAGCAAACGTCATCTGGACCCTTTTCAAATTTACCAGTTCGGTGATTTGGTACAAGTATGAAATAGATAGATTGCTGCGGGGATCAAAATACTAATGACATGTTTCTTATTTAAGATAGGACACCAAATCATATCTTGTACGTGTGCGTGTGTATGTGTCTCTGTTCGGAAATTTAATACAGAACAACATCATTTATTTGAGGTACAAACTGCAATGTTTTAATTTAGCAGATGATCCAGTATATTCTTGATTCAGCACGTAACTTGCCCATTGGATGTGTGACTGGCACAGTATTTCAGCACATGCTGAAGCTTAACCGTGTGTTTTTTCCAGGAGCAAAAATGTATCGAGGAACTGAAGGATTTCCTACTTAAAGTGTGCAAAGAAAAGGGCACATTTGATCAATTGAAACTTCTTTTGGGGGAACAAGCACATGATGTTGGTCTTCTGGTATCCCAGCGCGTAGTGAATCTTCCTCTCCAGCTTTTACCACATCTTTATGATGCCCTTTTTGATGAAGTGTCATGGGCGACAGAAGATGAGGTCAGATGTTGATAGTAATAGATGGGTGAGGGTGGTAGATAGGATTCAACTTGATCGCCAGAGGCTCACTTTGCTCAGGGAACTTATAATGTGTTGTTTTGCATTTTTGTAGCCAACAGAGGAGCTTCGTAATTCCTTCAAGTTAACACATTATATAATATATAGTAAAATTTACAAGGTACCCTTCTGTGGCTTCTCCCTTGTCCCTTCTACTCATTGTCTTCTCTTTTTGGTTACTATAGAGTTTCTAGTTAAGTTCATTTTCTTCTTGTTACTCTTATTTTTTCTTTGACCGAAGGTAAAACCACAGCATAAGAATGCAGAGCAAAATCGAAAACTGAACAAGGATGATGATAATGCAGTAATATATATAAAGCCTGAGGACGAACTTTTTCACAAGGTACTGAACTACTAATGCTTCTGTTGATCTTGTTGACCCATTGTCTATTTATTTCGCTTGCATTATTGACTATTTCCTAAAATCTATCACAGTTGAGCTCCTGGTTTTTCTATTTTCCATTGCAAACTTCACAGCCTGAAACTCGTGAGGCAAGTATATGATTCCTGATATACCATTATTCCAATATGTTTCGGTTCTCCATTTTCTTGGCGTTTTCTGGAAGTATTTTTTTAATGCATAACGATAATAAGTTCTGCCTCTGTTTTGTGGAGAAATACACAGCAAAATATGGAGTGCTTTATGGGATATTGGCAGTGAGGACTTTTTGCCATGTGTTTTCATGGAACGTAATGCTCACGTTCTTAACAGGAACTTTTTTCTCCCATCTTTTATGGGATACAGTTAATTTTCACCAGTTTTATTTTGGGGATGGGCTGTATGGGGGCCGTGGGTATTTTGAACAGCCTATTTGAGTTAAACTTCTCTCGTCTACATGCTCTTTTACCTGGTTGATGGAGGGTTGAGCATCTGGATCAGGTATACTGAGGTTTCAAGCCTGATTCTCATCTTCCCTTCTACAATCTACATTCTGGGATTAGATAGGAATACCAAATCAACATGATCAAGATAGAATGCAAACGAAATGACCAAGTCCGAGTTCTTGGAATCAATTTTGATGCTCTGGACGTTAAGAATTTTAAATAACTAGAATTTCGGTTTATTTTATTTTATTTTATTTTTTTGGGTGAACGATGGAATTTCAGTTTTATTTTCTTGCTTAAATTACCCTATAGCTCTATCTTCAGTAATTCGGAATTGATATTCATGTTTTGCCCCTTACAGCTAAAGAATTACATGTCAGTGGGATTGGTCATGGCTGTTGAAGCAGGCAAAATTCCCACATTTCGGCAAGAATTGCGGTCTCTAATGAGTGAACCCTGATGCGAACCATTAGGTGCCCTGGATTTCGAGCAATGCAGTCAAACTTCTGATTCATCCTGATCTGGTCCAACGTGCCAAATTATAATATTATTTTTTCTTTGTCATGGGCTTTAGGCACTTTTAAGAACTTACTCTTCTACATTAGCCTGATATATTTAAAATTTTGCTCAGAGAGAAACGAACTTAAATTGATAAATTAAGTTCACCCCAGTTTATGGCCCTTTTTGTTCTTACGGTTCCTCATGACCCGATAGTTGTGGACAAATATTTTCTGGGTTTCACCCTTGAAAGCATAGCGAGATATGTTACACGTTCTACAACTGCGAGAAAACAGTGCCTTGCATCAAGTAAAATGATGAAATTACGGCTCTGCTGATAATTGCTTGATTAACTGGATGAAAATGACATTGGGTGTGGATTAAAGCAAGTTTATAGTCGTATAAACCACCTTCCAGTTTCTAAGGCATAAACATCTGCAAAGTAGGGGCTGTTTGGTTTACTTAAGAAGCATTTTTCAAGAGTGTTTTTATGTAAGTCAAGACAAAATTTTTTTTACATATTTTTTTTATATATCATAAAATCATTTTAAAAATCATGGTTTGATTTTTACTTAAATACTTCCATAAATATCAGGTCAAATCATATATTGATTGCCTAAGGGGATTAGATGATATTTTTTAAATACAATTTAGGAGGAAAACATGAAGCAGCATGCCCCTGAAGGTGAGAAGCCATCGTTTTTCAGTGTTTATGCTGAAAACGCTATTAAGATCGTCCAGTTCATTTAACTAATCTCAATGCTTGACGGAAGATCACTGTATGATATTAGGGTCTAAATCTTCACGAGGTTAAGTGCTCAACTGTTCGTGCGATGGTAAGGACAATAAATCACATATATTTGTATGGTGACATTTATCTTAGCTAATACTAAAAGAAGAATGAAAGGACTATTAAAAGCCACCTCCAAGAAAAGATTTGTCTAATTCATCCTTCGCAAAAGAAATAAACAAGCCTGTTATAATAATAATTTACTCATTAACAACACCAATTCTTTGTGGAAAACTCTTTCCCTGAAGGTTTTTTTTTATTTATAAAATTTTATTTGACTGCAATGGGTAGTTTATTCATTAAAAAATTAATCAAAAGCCTGGCCTAAGGAAAATAAAAAAGGACCCCAGGCTGGGTAAAAAAAATTTACAAAAGGGAAATAGATTAAGGGAGAATCCCAATTAAATCCAGCCGAAATACCTAAATTTAGATTTAGGCCTACACTTTTAGCAAATTCCTAATTAGGCCATGAGACCTAATTAGGGATTTTTGAATGTTGTTAGATCACCAAAACGCCCTTCTTCAATTAAAAAGAAAACTTGATTAATAATTTAATATATCTCTCCCGAGTAATTTCTCATCTCTTATGATTTTTTTAGACCAAAAAACATATAAGTAATTTTACGATGTTTGAAATTTGTATATATAACTTATACTATTAAAAATATTTTAATAAAACATGTTAAATTACAAATATAAGTAAAATTATAAATATTTTTTATTTTCAGTTCTTGTAATTTACATTAGTTTTATTTATTTAAACAATGTTGGATCCAACTGAAAATGTAAATGATTACGATTTAATATTAAATTTTTATTATGATTAAAATATTTTAAAATTTTAAAATAAATATTTACAACCTGAAAAGAAAAAAATATTAATTTAAAGATTACATATATTATAATTTGAAATGTTTTATGAAAATATTTTGAAGATTTTAGTTATATTACAAAATTTCAAACACTAAAAAATTATTTATATTTTTTTGTCTAAATATTAATAATAAGAGATGATGAAACACTTTAGAGGGATAAAATAATCAATTTTTATTTTTAACTAAAGAGGGGCATTATAGTTACTTAACAATATTCAGCATTAGCAATTCCTAATTAGGTCTTATGTCCTAATTAAAAATTTGTTAAAAATGTAGGTCTTAATTTAATTTTAAGTATTTCAGCATGATTTAATTAGGATTTTCCCATAGATTAATTGCTGATGCTATTGGAGATAGAAGGAGGTTGTGGCAGTGGGGTTGTTCGTAGAACCACAACTCTGTCACGTTGTGGTCGCTATTTTCTTGTGAAATTAAAATTACACACACACTCTCTCTCTCTAACTTCGGTGCTAAGTGATGAAACCAATGAATTCTCCTTCCGAAACTCTCGTGATCACTCGTGCATCCTTTAAAACTAGTTTTATTTTTAATTTAATTATAAATATAAGATTTTAATTTATTTTATCTCTTTTGATAAAAAAAATTTACTTTATTTCTAATATTTATTTATTTTTTTAAGATAGTTCTTATGATAGTTACATATATTAAATATTTTTATCAAATATTAGTTCTAATTAATATACATAATTAATAATAAAGATATTTATTTATTATAAATAATTAGTTTAACTATTTCTTCCCATACGATCATGCATTGCCATGCCCAAAAAAGAGCTCACAATCACAAACCGGAGGTTGCATCCGAGGCGTAGATAAACTTCTGGATATTATCACACAAGGCCTGTGCTTTGGCAGGCTCAAAGATCTCCACTCCATGGAACCCATCGTCGCTGAAATGGGTGAACACCTCCACTCCACGTGCTTCCAGAATCTTCACCACCTCCTTCTGCTTGTCCACCAGTGGGTCCCCGCCGTAGCCATTCAAGAAACACCTTGGCAGCTGTCCGATCTTCTCCCCGTAGATCCCATCACCCACCGTCGGATTACAGTACTCATGGTCCCGGTCGGCGCCAGGTGGCAAAGACAGGGCCCACATCAGTTCGTTCGCCGGCAGCGGCAGAATGCGATCGTTCGCCAGCCTCACCTCCGATGCCGTCCTCTGGACGCCACCAAAGTAAGCCGAGTTTAGTATCAGGCCTTGGATCTTCAGCGGAGACAAGTCAAGATCGGTGGCGCGTAAACCAGCGAAGTAGGCGATATTTGCTCCGGCGCTACTTCCCATCAGGAAGCACCGGGAGAAATCCGCGTGGTCTTTCATCCAGGGTTCGGATGCGTTGGGATCCCGGGCTTGGTTTCGGACCCACTCGATCGCTTCGACAGCGTCTTCGTAGGCCGCAGGAAGACGGTGCTCCGGTGCGAGGCGGTAGTCGACAGAGACGACGAGGGCGGGCAAACGGGAGGCCAAGGCAATGCAGGAATCGTGGAAAATGGAGGAGGAAGGGTGGTAGAAGACGAAGCCGCCGCCGTGGTAGTAGATGAGGACGGGGAGTTTGGGGGGAGAGGGAGAGAGAGGATGGGGGAGGAAGAGGCGGAGGGAGGTGTCGAAGGAGGAGTTGAGAGGGAGGTCCTTGGAGAGAGAAAGGGAATGCGCGGGGGCGGGGGCGGGGGTGGGAGAAGGGGGTACGGAGGGGATGGGTCGGAGTCGGGTGATGGACCCATCGGGATTGGGTTTGATGCTGAGGAATTGGTAGGGGTCGAGGGAGGAAGTTGCGTCGTGGGGGGCGGGGGGAGGTTGGTTGGCCATGGTTGAGACTTTAGAGGAGGGAGGCCCCGTGACACTCAGGAGAAGAAGAAGAAGAAGAAGCTGCGGCTCATATGTAATCATCTCGTCTCATTAAATTGCCGCTTAATTTAGGTAGGTTGATACTTGATACTGCTGGCCCTGGCCGGCCGGATGGAGAAATTCTCTCTCAGCCTCTCCATGTATCCAAATGACGTGTCTTTTATTTTTAAGGAATGAGATTAATCAAATTACAGCAAGAACCAGTTTCGGTGCTCATCCATTTGATGGGTACTATAAGCTAATCAGATTTAAACGGTTCATATCTTATTTAGGTAGTTTAAATTTGATTTCTTTTTAATTTTTTTTATTTAAAATAATTATTTTAATATGTATAGAAATAATAATGATCTTTTAACTATCATTCTTTCAAAAAATAGTTTTTTCTATTTAAAAATAATTAATTAAAGATTTTAAATCTAGACTGTTCAAATGAGATATAAACGGTTCAGATCTGATGAGCGTATAGTGCTCATCTTTCCGCGGATACTGTGCTAGTTATGCGCTAATTGAGCTGTTCGGGGCTTAAATGATACGCTGATAAATGCTGGTGACATTGTTCATCTCCTACACAGGTTCTATGAAATTCACGAATTTAATTATTAAATCACACCACGATAATTAATTCAACAATAATGGCTCATTTAAGAAGCGCAACTGCCTCCCCCACCCCCACAACCCCCCCCCCCCCAGGGGGGGGGACCGCAGTTATTATGATCACACCCTCCTACCATGACTTATTCACTTTCATTCTTTCACACTGAAAATTTTATGACCCAACTCATCATCTAAGAATATGCAATAGAAATAACATTTTTGTTGGTTCTAAATTTCTAATAAAGAAGTGCTGAAAGTCACTTGGGTGAAAACTGAAAGAAGTTTTCAACAACGTTGTCCATCTAGAAGGAGAAGGAACCAGATTTTTAACAATTACTTCATTTGCGGGCTGCATACGTAAAAGATATCCCCGCCTCCCAAATTTTCGAGTGAATCAAATTTTACAAAGTCTGTCGAGTCAACAGTCACGTGCGTACCGAACTAGGCAGCTGGCAGGATGGAAGAGAGGTCGTTAGCGCTTTGACCATTGTCACTCTGCTCTTCGTGCATTCCTAATATATGCCCAGAATTTCTGGGCCCAAATTTCCGCCATGAAACCTTAATATAGAGTCTCATAGCAGTCCAATTATAGCTGAAATTAATGGGTAAACCACATGTACTTCCCGTCTTTGTGCTTTGTATGCTAACATACACAAGGACGACACTGTCTATTCCCTTCATAGTTTTACCTGGTAACTACTCTGTTTCTCAATCCTTTACTTTGTTACAAAGTTTAAAAGTTTTATCAGTTTGCATCGTTTACGCTCTGTTTTGTGCATGGTTTTGTTTTTGTCGAATTTATGGTCCGCCATTTGGTGGCTGATGCTAAAATCGATGGTGGCTCGGTATTCTTACCCTTTAAATGAGTCACTAGATGGGTATGTGGAAAGTGACATTGTATGCCTTTTGTTCCAGAACCAGGGTCACATCTTTCCTATTATTTTTAACTTTTCCAACCAAGCTTTGCCTAAAGGTCCAAGATGGAATTTTGAGGAAACATCCTTGGTAGATGAGTTTGCACTTGTGAGAGAAAGAACAAGTCTGCCCACGCACTCTTTATGTAGACTGAGTCATAAAGTTTTGATTCTTTGTACTTATGTCAGGCCTTGGAGATGAATGCAAGAATCAAGGAGTCAAACACTTCACAGAGCTCTTAAGCAACTGGTCTGGCTCTCAAGGATACTGCATGTATGCTAATAATTTAGTATTTAACTAATAGTAATTTTTCTTTTCATTTGATCATGAATCCATATGCCGAAGCCTAGTTCAAGGGTCAATAGGTCAATTGTGTTGATTACAATCTGTCACAGGTGGAAGGAAAATTAAAACTCGCACAGCATGTCATAGATAGCTATTTTGGTACATTTATATTTATTAAATGATGCAAAGATTTCTTTCCCAATACAGCTGAACTTCAATAATTGAGATAGAGAATGTAACAAATGTTATCAATTATATTAATTTGTGAATGTTATGAACTTGCTCTCCTAACAATGAACTCTAGTAAATTTACAAAATATTGTTGCAAAAAAGGAAGCTAACATTATCCAGAAGAAATGAGAAGAATAAAGCTCCTAGCATTTCAAGGGGGCTAGGATCCTCCATGCGAATGCCCATATTCTAATTATTACACCCTCTGCTCTCACCTGCAATATGTATCTACTAGCGTAACGAAATTTGCAGTTAAGTTAGTTGGTCCTTGCAGCTGAATTCCCATTTAACAGCCCGTTTTGATAGACGTTTGATGGTTCACAACCAAGATGTGATGTGCTTTTAGTTACTTATCTGTACTTCACCTGTTTGTAGAAAAATTGGAGACGGATCATGGGATTCTTGGACCATGCCCCTAATGGAACAGGTGACACTTGGTTATCGTGCTTCCATTTTACAATGTTAGGCATCTCACAATCAACTAACTGTTTGTATACTCCATATGCTTTCAGACAACTATTGCCTGTGAGAAGGTAGCGAAGATGTTTGGTAAGAGATTCCAATTTTACTCCATGAGTATAATTTGTTTCCAAATAAGTTTTTGCTTTTATCAATAGGTTAAGAAGATGACTGAACTAAGTCAGGGTTACAATATCGTCGGACTCTCTCAGGCGAGTAAGCAATGAAGTGAACTCATTTTACTTGAACTAACAATAATATTTCATTTTAGGCGGTATTTCTGGTAGGCACAAACAAAGACTAGCAAAACAAAAGGGGAAAAACTCGGGAGATGCAGCTGATACATAAGTTCCTTTTCATTTCTGCAGTCTTCCCACTATTAAACAACAATGGAGAGATGCAAGGAGATAATAAAACCAGTCAATATTCATACAAAAGCAAATATTAGAACATGATAAAAGCCCTATTTTGATCCTTGAAAGATAGCACCATTATCCTTTTTCCAAAGGCTCAATAATTGCCTCTTGTATATTTAGTGCTAACGGGTTATAGTTTGAATTGTTAAGCATTTATCGTCTTAACATAGTAGAATGGCTTTTCAGTGCATATGTTTCCTTTCTTTCCTGTACTGATCACATGATAGCCTCATTTGGTTCACAGGGCAACATGATTGGTCGAGGGCTTGTTGAATTTTGTGATGGAGGACCGCAGGTATGGACTGATTTTTTAATCTATGATATTGGACTTTTACATCTCCATGGAGAAGTTATTTTGGGGTTGCATCTTTCTGTTTATTCTTTATTTGAGAACCCTGTTTTTTTAAAGTCTTATTTTAAAGTCTTATTTTTATTTTTATTTCAATGCTATTTATACCAATATCTGAAATCTGATTCGAGGCGTGTTGCTTTTTCTTTTGTCCTGGATGTAAATCAGGTGAAGAATTTCATATCGCTCGCCGGACCACATGCTGGTACTGCTTCTCTTCCATTCTGTGGGGTAAGTGCTTTATAGTTGAACTCGATCTGCTACATATTTGTTCCTCTATAGCACTTAATCTCAGAAGGATGGTTTATTTATTTCTGGAGTGTAGCAACTATAGGTACTTAATCAGACACAAACTAATACGGAAGTTTTATGGGCGTCTCCAAAGCAATAGCATGTTAAAACGCTATCCTTACCGCAATGTTGTCAATCTGTGATGAAAAGACTAGGAAAACCATGCTGTCATCTCTTCCTTAATCAGTTGGTTGCTAATATGTGCTATTTTGGAGTGAGTGCCCGTCTATATAAGCATTTTTAAATGGCGTAATTTTTCAGTATTTATATCTTGGGAACAGAAACAACTGAGAGATTTGTATTGCTATTCCATGCAATATGTATCTAGACCCTTGCAGAACTTCTGACATGGAAATTGGTTTGACTGAGTACAAAGATATCAATAATTGAGTTATAAATTATCTGTCATTCTTCTGCGTGTGGGTTGTTGTAGTTGCAACATTGTCTGACATTTACATTTTCCCAGTCCCAGTGGTTATGCGTTCTTCTTGATGATCTGGTCAAATTGATAATCTACAGCCGCTTTGTCCAGGTTTTTTACTTTGCTTAATCGCCTTGTTGTAACTTTTCACTTTTTAGTTTAGTGAGAAGATTACTATGATTGAATTCAAAATGAATGTCATGCTGTTCTTACTTCAAGTCTCGTTCATTTTTTCTTATTATTTGGCTTCCAAATTCTTTTAGTAACATATTGCTATTTTCCCTCTCCTGGTACCCATGAAATCTTGATGCAGGAACACCTTGGGCCAAGTAACTACTTTAAAATACCTACAGTGAGTGGAATACATAATATGTAAATCATCATTTACTTGTTAAGTTGCATTTCACATATTAGTCGCACTTGAGCTATTTTGCTCTACTCAATGGTCAGTGACATTGGGTCTGATTGGATTTCTGCGTTATGGACAAATGGAGAAAACAAAAGCAATCAGTTCATGTTCTCATTTTTCAGGATATTTTTGCCTACATTAACGGATGTAAGTTTCTTCCAAAGCTTAATAATGAAATCATGAATATGAAGAATTATACATACAAGCTGCGATTTGCCAGCTTAGAAAATTTGGTTCTTATAATGGTGAGTAAGAATTTCTCTGTTCTGCCTCTCTTCTCAACTTTGTTTTGGATAATATTAGTCTATATTATATACACCTATGGTGTCTCTATGCTCCCTGCATGTGAATCAGTTCGAGCAAGACGCTGTTTTGATACCCAAAGAAACATCCTGGTTTGGTTATTTTCCGGATGGTGCATTTCATCCTGTTTTGCCAGCACAAGAGGTAATTTAAGTCATCACATATCTGGTATTTACCTGATGCAAGTATCTTATATAATAAGTAGTTCCGATGTACCTTGTATGTTATGTTTGGATTGTGAATTGAAAAATTCCACAGAATTTTAATTGGGAGGAATTGAAACTTCCTAGGATTCAAGTCCTTTCTTTTAAAATGGGTTGGCTGGATAATTATTTGTTGATATGCATACACATGCCTACATATATATGTTTTATTCTGAAAGTTTTCGTTTAGGAGCAATATTGTCACAAAATTTTTTTTAGATTCAATGTTATCCGAAAGTTTCGAAATACAATAATGTTGCCCTACCTTGTTAAAAAACCGTTAGCATTTTTAACTGTAAGGGTAACATTGCTCCGATAACCTTAAACCCAAAAAAAAAAAAAAAAAACAACATTGCCCCTGGTAAAAATGTTCAAAACAAATTTGTATCTTAACCTCTTTTTTTAAAATTCATGCTCTATTCCTCTAAAATTACATGCTTAAACTAATTCAACAACTAAAAAGCCCTAAATCCCTATTACTCTGAACTAGACCGGTAAAAGCCACCTCTTCTCTGGTCCAGATTTGTTCCATAAGTCACTTATTTCATTTACAAGCCATTGCGGATGGGCCAGTACCCTTTGCATAGGCTCATGGACCCTTTTCTAATGCTAACAGCTCTAAACCAACATAACTAAAGTAATCCTTGCCTATATTTGTATCGTAACAGCTACTTCCCACTAAGAAAAGTTTTTATAAAAATTCAAAATGAAGATCAAAATTGATATCATTCTCTGGTGATTCCTATTCTGCAACTGGTGTTTGTGCCTTCTTCCAAAGAATGAGAAGCCATATAACTTGAGCCCATTGTTTGTGCAGCCACTCAAGGCTCCCTTTCTAGACTCGTTTATTGTTCTGGTTTAGAGCTAATGTGACTTCCGGTAACACTGTCCCCTGCAGTGTGCTCCCTTGGCTTTGCTACTGTCATTCTATCCCATTCCATTTCTTTCCAGCGTCATCATTCCCGGTAACCAATTGGACGCTGAAGAGAATATGCTCACCAGTTGTCCTGCTGTGCACCAGATCCATCCCCTGCTCGTCCCGAGTGCAGAACCAGAATCTCAACTCACACATCCCAGGAGCTGCAGTGCTGATCGGTCGTCTAGGGTTTCCCCTTCCTCCTGACTTGCGCTCAATCACGCAGCCTTCTACTTGACCATAATCCTTTAATTCACCACTATTTAGTTCGGGGGTTAGCAGGAGTTTATGTTCTTGTGTGTCGTGGCTTTTCTTGATCTTCTTGAACCTTCATGACCACAGGTCCCTCAAGAATGGCGGCATGGGTGTCATCCACTCATCTTCATCGTAAACCTTTGTTACCCCATTCCCCAGCAGTTCATTGACGGTGACTTGCCTTTCTTTCACAGAATCACAGAATCACGCATTTCCTTCTTGCTTCCATTTCCCTTCCAAATGGAATCAGCTCGGGGACCACTTGGTACAACTTTTTCTCAGAAATAACTTATTCACACCCTATATATAGTAGGGGTGTGCAAAAACCCGGTGGTCCGGTCTAGTCCAGTCCAACCCGAAGTGGTCTTGTCGGGTCCAGTCCAGTCCAAATTAACTATATAATGGAATTAGACTAGACTAGACCAGACTAGTTGGTCGAGTTGGACTGGGTTTCGGACCAAGTGATCATATCACCTAGACTGGTCCAATCCAGTCCAGTCTAGGTGAATTTTTTATTTTTCAATAATTTGTAATTTAGATGGTGCCTTTAATTGTTTTTAATGTTTTTAGATATTTTTATGTATTTATGATGAAGCCTTAATATTTTAGGACGAGTTTCATATGATTATAGATATTTTTTATTGTTTTAATTGTACTTATCATGTTGAAATCTTATTTCTCATAAAGAAAAAAATTTAAAAAAAAAAAAAGAAAATTGGACAACTGGACTGCCTAGACCAGTCCACCAGTCTGGTAGACCAAGTCCAGTCCAACCCGACCTCGAGTCATCACTGGACCAGACCAGACCATAGACTATTAAACCCAGTCCGACCAAAAAATCAGACTAGACTTCGGGTTGGGCTCTGGTCCGGTCCGACCATTGTGCAGCCCTAATATATAGCCTCAAGGAAACCCTGCTGATGCTAACTGTTCTAAACCAGCATAGCTACCAGCTAACTAATCTCATCCTCTTATTATTTGTACCCTAACACCCTCCCTCTTAAATTTTACGCCATCTCACTAATTCTGATTCAATTATGATGGATGTTGTGGTGACTAATATTCTGACTCAACACCTTCCGATAAGACCCACTATAATTTTCTCATGCTTTCGTCAATCATCCCCATCATAATTTCTAAAATCCTCTATCATTGAAAGTATGGCCAAAGCATAAAATTATCATGCTTTTTTCCGAAACTTAATAATTAATAATGGAATTAGCAAGGATGGAACTCTAGCTTACTTGGTTTACAGAGTATTTTACCCTAATAGAAACTAGAAAACACTCCGTGCATTGTGCGGAGGATTCAACAAAAGCAGCAGTATAGAAGATTCAAAATTTTCAAATCCGAAAAAGTGACTGTGTATTAAAAAAAAAGTGTCACTTGTATGACCAAAAGATGTCACTTCAGTAAATGATGATTGAATAGTAACGAGGATTTTGTTTGTATGTGTTGTATTAATATATCAAGTGTTCACTTGATAAGCTGTTTGAGGCCTGTGCTTGTGATGGATGGACGGGGCAATATTCGTTCTTAAATTTCACGAAGCAATCAATGCATGAAATAATTTACCCAGACATTTAATAAAATTCCCTGTTTTTCACAGACTAAGCTCTATACTGAAGACTGGATCGGTTTAAAAACTCTGGATGAAGCTGGAAAAGTGAAATTCATCAAGGTGTCAGGGAATCATTTGGAGATATCAGTTGGTGAGATGAAGAGATATATAGTGCCATTCTTGAAGGACCAAGCATCAACAATCGCACTTCCAAAAGTCGTAGAATCTTCATCTGGTTGGCAGTGGTCGCTCCTGAGCTTCGCTTTTGAAATGGCTGGGCTTAATGAAGGCCGGCAGTTACTCCGCATCATGGGTTAGAGTAGATTATTCAAAAGTTCCTGTGAAATTGACTTTACAGGATGTATAAAACGGAACCACCGTCGGTTGGACCATGGGATATGACGGTGAATTTAAAAAGCCGCCTACAGGCGCATGAAGTGAAATCCGAGAGAAATGATTGGGCATTCTAAAGTTATATATTCAATAAAGTGGCGGTGAAGTTCTAGTTTTGTAGACCGAGCGAGTGAAAGCTACATGGAATAATTCCATTCTCAAGCACTGTGATTATGCTTGGGCAGAATATTTATGTATGTGTAGCAGGACAATACCAGCTTCAGAGGCTTTAATAAAACAACAATCTGTCAATGTTAATCTTCAGAATCAACAGGCCAACTATTGACTCTCCTATAATCCATTTCAAAGGCAAAAGCATCATGAATGTATTTCCAACAAATTGAAGTCGCCAAACCTGTGATCTGAAATACGCACGACATACACCTTTTTCGCTTCATTATGGGACCATATGGTACGTACGTATATCCATCTTAATATGCGACTTGTCTGTTATGACAATATAGTAGTATGATAAACACACCGCATGATCCATCAAAAACCCCAATGCCTCTCTCTCCCCTTATCATCTCAAACTGATCAAGCAAGCGCTGAGCTTTGTAAATGGCAGAAGCCCCACGCCCATTTACTCTTTTTCTTTTGTTTTTTTTTTCCTTTTTTCAAGAAAAGAAGGGAAATGCGTGTAGTATGATATAGTGATGTGGTTGGGCCTCAGAAATGTCGCTCTCACACGTCAGCTATGCTTCCAACGAGGGTTTCCAGACTTGGATTGGACCAGTCGGTTTGAAACTAACCAACCTGAGAACTGATGAAATCAGATTTGAAAGTACCGAAAAAAAAAGAAAAGAAATCAGCCTGGAAATTGCTAAATTTGATTAAAGAAAACTATGGTAAAACCGGTTATACTCTTCCAGTCTTTAATATAAAATTCATTTAACTAATTTGATTAGATTAAGGAAGTTAGATAAGTTAGTTAATTTTAAGAAAAATAACACATTTTTCCTAAAACACCATAATTATTTTTCTTAATACCCTATCTCCCTCTTCTACTTGATTATGATTGAGAGAGTATCTATCGGGGTAATTTAGAGAAAAATGATAAATATGAGAAATGAGTCTTATATTTAGGACCAAAACCAACTCAAGAATTAGGTCTTATATTAAGGACCGGAGGAGTATTATTCTTTTATTTTCTAAATTTCTAAATTATAATCCATTATTCCAAAATTGTAATATACATACATGTCTGTATCTAATAAGCATCGAGAAATGAAGAAAAATGAACAGACATGTAAGAAACTTTATAAAATGTGTATGTATATATTCAACAAGTTATAAATTATAAATTATGAAGAATATATGTTTTGGACGAAAATAATGGAATAATGATAGATAATTAGATATTACCTGTGAATACCCAATTTTATCCGGGCCCCACAAAATTATTAAATGTAATTGAAATTAAAGAAAAGGAAAAAAAAAAGAATCATAAAAGATTGATATCCTCCTTGATTCTTTCTTGGACGCTAAGTCTGAGAAGTCCACTATATGACAAATAAAAAAAAATCCCTCTTACAATAAATGGCAATAAAATAAGAGATAAGAATTAAAAGCCAATTTAGAAAATGTGAGGTGGACACATTAAGGAGGGAAATAAAAAAAATCAGAAAATAAAAGTAAAGATTTCTCATTTAAGATGATTAGCTCCTCAATTTAGAAACATATTTTGGGGTTATGATATAAAAAAAATAAAAAAACAGAAATTAAAATGAGAAATCATAATTTGATGATGATTTGATGCTCAAATAGGAAGTTACATTAGGAGAAAAAATAAAAAACGAAAATTAAGATAAAAAAATCATAATTTGATGATGATTTGGTACTTAAATAGGAAGTTATATTATAAATCATAATTAAGAAAATTAAAAAAATGGAAATTGGAAAAAAAATTGGAAAAACCCTATGTAGAGCTTATAAATAGGAGAGTAAGTGTTAGAGAAACTGATTCAGAATTTCCCAGTGAAGAAAAGAGGTAAGGTAGAGAGCTTTTCTATCATCTTATTTCATTGCAATAAGTTGTTTTGGGGAAAGAGAGTGAAGGCCCAACTAGAGAAAAATCCTTTTTTTTTTCATCTTCTTCCTTTTTTTACCCAAGAAAAACCTACGCTCTTGTGATTTTTGTCACATTTATAAGTTGGAGCAGTGATGGCTAGAGGGTTGAATCCAATATGATTTTAGTTAATTCTCACTACTCCCCTTTCTTTTTGATTTATTCGAAATATGCCTCTATCTATTTATCCCCCACATATACTCATTTTGATATTCACTTCCTTCCTTTTTTTAATTTTCATTTTATTTCATTTATTCTATTTTTGGTTCATGCTTTTTTGCCAATATGTGTATATAGTTTTTATTTATTGGCTTATTATACAATGCATTTTTTTTTATATAGCCAATTGATAAGTGGAGCATCAAATGTGAATTTTCATTCCCATCTATTATGCTTAACTTGAATGTCATGTTGGCTTATTTTTTGGTGTTCTTTCTTTTTGTTTTCAAAAGTGCTTCTCTTTTTAAAATCTTTACTGTGTGAGGTTTTTTTAGAACCTCTTATGGGAGTCTTCACAGGAATACCAATGTGGTTGTGTAAATTTTCTTTTTGAAATAAAAAGAAAGAAAATAAGTTTGGCACCATCTTTATAAATAAATAATAGAATAGAATTTTTTTAAAAAATATGTACAAGTAATCTCAAAATGTTTTTTTAAAGCTGTGTGAGGTTTTTAGAACTTCTATAAGCTCGAACGATTATTCTCCCGTGTGAGGTTATGGGAACCTTCATAGGGAGGGTAATCCAAAATTTCTTTTTAAAAAATATACTTTGTAAATAAAAAAGGGCTTGTTTTCATATATTAAAAAATACAAACCCACCAAAAATACTTTTTTTAATTGAATAAATATTTTCCAAAAGATACCAATGAAGTGACACACATTGTTACCCCTGAACTATGTGGGCTTTGGTCCTTCTAAAGGGTACGTAGGCCTCGGGTTTTTATCCCAGGTCAAGTCCAACCTTATAAATAATTTTTGTTTTTTGTAAATAAATTTTTTTTCTTTGTTTCTATCTTTTTCTTTAGGGTAATTAAAACATGATTAAAAAGGCTATATTAATTTTGAATAGTTGATTTAGGGTAACCATTCTCTTGAACGGGTGTTGTGGGGTGCCTAACAACTTCCCTACACACAATCGACTACTGAACTCTATTCGATTTTTGCAGACTACACTTTTTTAGGTTCCCATAATTAACCTTTTAAAAATTTTGGTGGCGACTCATCTTCCTTTCCTTTTATGGGATGACCAGGATTTCAGGCGTAACATTACCTTTTCATTGCATATTATTTTGTTTAGGATTTACATATTCAATTTTATTGTATATATAATTATTCCTTCTCATTTTAAGAATACATTATTTAAAATATATCAATTTGTTCATGATGGGTTGTATCACAATTCATCCAATTACCCTTTTTTAGGCTTTTGCGGGAACAATTCATCCAATTATCAAATCATCAAACCATAATGAATTAGCCTCTCGTGTAACTTTTTTAAAACTTGGATTCCGACAGTGATAAATAAGATTCCACTTTTCGTAAGGTGTCACCAGACAGTGTCAAAGAAGCAGAGACTCATGGGCTATAAAGGGGTGACGAATGGAGGAGGGTGTATGGAGTAAGAAGAACTCTTTCCTAAAGAAGAGGATATCTTCCGGAAGATGCCAGAACCAAGCGAAGAAATCAAAAGACTCATGTGAATATACTTGGTAGTGCTTATTTCACAGGAAGAATACAATGAATGGTGCAAACCATGGAACCATTCAATTATCATCATGGTCTTGGGGAAGAAGTTTAACCTTCATATGCTGAAAGCCAACCTAGCCAGAACATGGGGTCTGAATGAGTTTAATCTTATTGATATGCCAACTAATTACTTTATTGTAAAGTTTACTAATGAGAAGCAATGGTGACAATATTATAGGAAAGTCCTATATGAAGGACCACAGGTAATAGCCCAACATTGTGTGCTGGTTCAGAGATGGACATTGTATTTTGACCCGTTCAATATTCCTCTTCGCAGAATTGTGACATGGGTTCGCATACCACAGATTTTGATCTTATGTTACAACAGCCACTTCATCGCTAGGCTAGGAGAACGAACTAGATGACCACTAAGGGTGGATATGAACACTTTGGTCAATAAAACGACAAAGGATGCAAAAGTAGAACGAGGTAGATATGCCTGGATTTGTGTGGAGCTCGACTTGCAGAAGAAACTTATGCCAAGAATAATTGCCTTTGATCAGATCTTCAATACAGAGTACAAGGGACTAAGCCTCATTTGCTTTGAATGTGGATGCTATGGCCATTGGAGAGAAGTGTGGCCTTGGAAACACTGTGACACACTGAGCTAGAAGCCCTTTGATACTGGCAACTAGCAACCATATATGCCAGAAAAGTCCCCAGCACAAGTGAAGTCAGAAACCAAGAAAATTAAGGTCATTTTTGTGTGTGGTTATTTTCACCCTCACCAACTACACTCGCTTTTCTGTAGTGGCAACTTCTTTCAAGTGGAGTGGGAAAGGTCCCTGGGGAAATGGAGGGCATCCCTGGCAATATTCGGAAGAGCTTATGGTGGACAATCAACAACCAGGAAAGAGATGAATCAGTATTACTGTTTATTGGCTATTCTGTTTTATAATCCAATAGGTAGTATGGCCGGTCAAGAGATTTTATTTTCCCATATACATTAATCTTGTGAATAATTTTCTATTAATGTAGCATGTGTACTGGATACTATATGCATGGTAACACTTGTTGGGGTTTGTGTCAACTAGTTATGACGGGCGTACCTTGCGTTCGTTATTCATTCTCTTGGATCTAGACATCCATGTTCATAGGTTGTGAGATGGCACCCTTCAATGCCTGCAGCTCTCCTGTTGTGGGATAGCTTAACAACAAAAAACCTGATTGAAATAATGATGAAAATCTCTTATAAGCACGTTTCATATAAGTTGAGATAAAATTTTTTTCATATACTTGTTTCGTATTGTGTAAATCATGATTAAAAAGTTACTTATAAGCTGTTCTAAACAGACCCAAAATCTGTTTAATGGGTGGCTTCTTAGATTAACCTGTAAGTAAAAAATAACCTGCTTTTTTTCTCTCTTCTAATGCGATTGAGTTTGAGCAGTATTACCTGCAATCTTAAGAGAGCCAGGTATTAAACTTGAAGAAAATTAATTTGAAAAGAAAAATTAGGTTAAAAGAATTAAATTGGACATTAGTGTATCATATAATTGCTATGTAATTTATTTTTCCCTTATTTTACTAACGCAGTTTCAATTTTTTGTACTTCTATCTTCTAGTAACTCTAATTATTTTTTAAAAAATATGCATAAATTAAATATTTGATTCTAAAATTTTTGTTTACATCTTTAAAATGAAAAAATGAATAAAATTCAAAATGAATTTTATAAATAATAAAATAAATTTGTTATAATAATTTTGATGTGAACAATACTTTATAAATTTAATAAATATATTTATATTATATACTCCCCATTTTCTGACCATAATTCATTGGCAAAAAAAAAAAAAAATGTAAACAGAAACACATTAACAAAACAAAAAACTTCGGTCAAGACAAACAGAACGAGCTTCCTTTTTCTGTTCGTCACTCGATTTGTGAGAATTGTGATGGGTAGGAGGTTAAATCATTGAGCAAGGATCACGGAAAATATTCGCTGTATTGATTGATTCCATCCTTTCTTCCTTTCGTTGGGATGAGTCCACGCTGGGAGAGGCAGGTGAAATTTTCGCTTCCTACATGCTGAGGTTTGTGTTCTCCGCTACTGCCTGTGTTCTCTGAAGGTTGCTTAGGCTGCGAAATTCGTATTCGTATTCTTGGTTGGGTTTCGGATTCCTAGGACGGTGTTGGATTATGTATGAGTGTTTTATTTTTATGCTCTTGATGGAAATTAGAAACGATTTGGGCTATAACTGATATTTGGGTATTTAGTCAAAGCTATTCCTATGAACATCGCACTTCGTGAGGCATGCCATTGCGTGTGAGGAGATGTACATATGTTCGTTCGTTCCTTTTGAAAATAAGGCGAATGTTGTCTTTTTTGCTGGAAATTTGATTTTTTCGTTTCACGAACGCTCCAAAGTTGTGGTTGCGACTAAATTTATTTATTTACTTTTAAAATCTATATTGCACTAGATTTTGGACGTTGAACCATAATTTTGCTGTAAAATGGTGGGAATCTACGGGCGCTTGTTCATGCTGCTTTTAAATTTAATATGTTGTTGAAACTTACACCGTTGTTTTCCTATAAGATACATGAAGGATTTCATAAAAGAGTATTTTGTAAAACGGGTTGGTAGCTTTTGGAATTGTTCACTGCACTGCATACGCTTTCTTAAACGGAAAGAAAAATGATCAACATACACCACACGGATATTGCATATGATCTCATATGTGCGAACTAAAAGTAGAAGGATTTGAATTAAATGACCCAGTATAAAAAAAAAAAAGAAGGTGCTTTTGGGACAATCAATTTGGAGGTTATAAGGTTTTGACACACCTTATATTGCGTCTCCACTTCTTAGGATCCAGTTCTCTGAACCCATCTTTTTCCTTCTCCCCTCTTGGGGCATATCTTGATTTTTAAGTGAGTTTTGCATTTGCATGTTTAATAAACGTCATGATCATTGATCTCTGGACAGCCAGTTGCATGATCTGCAAAATGGGTCCTGACATAGAGCTGAAGGGGAAGGTGGAATCTGCCCCAGAAGTTCACTTTAGTAAAGAGATTTTTCCTGCCCCTACATTTTCGGAACGCAAAGATTTTCAACCTACGATTAGTAAGTGCAGTGCTTGTGCCAACGAAGCATTGCCAATTGAAAAATCTCCTTTGTCTAACGGAAATGAGGACGTGGAAGTTAACATAACTGGTTCCTCAAATTCTGGGAAGACATTGGTTGTTGAAGTTGCCTGTGAGGATGCCACAGAGTATTCTAGTTCTTTTGGTGATACGTTATCTGGCACAGAGATTGAGAATTGTTCAGCATTCAGTGATGTTGAAGTCCAATCACAGATACATTCTGGGAATGCATCCTCACCAATGCATGATGATTGTTTTGAACCATTTCGAATAAGGTATAATTTAAGTTTTACTGTTTCATGCACCTGCTCTGTGTCTTTTGATTCTTGTTCTTTTCTGTGTGAAGCAAAATAACAAAGCTGGGAAAAAGAAACGAAGTAAAAATGAACATATTGTCCCGTTCTTTTATTTGTATCCTGTACATTGGCACATTATTTTTGCTGTACTGGTTGTTGGGTGTTTGATTAGAAGATCAATAACTGATATGTTTTACCCTATTGACTGTGTAGGAAGAAAAAACTGACTAATCATTGGAGGAGGTTTATACATCCTCTAATGTGGCGTTGTAGGTGGATAGAATTGCAGCTGAATCAACTTCAGTCTCAAGCGCTTAAATACGATGAAGAACTTGCAATATATGATCATAGAAAGCAGCATGAATTTGCAAACCTTACACTGGATGGTTTTGGTACCAAGTCAGTACCTTATACGGGTTCAATTGGTAGGAATAAAGTGATGAAGAGGAAAAAACGAAAGAGAGTTGAAGCAGAATGTGATTTGCTATCGGACATGTCTAACCATAGCCTATTCTCCTACTATGGTATGAATGTTCTTTATTTAATCCTAATGCATGTTACTTCTGTGATCTTATGATTTGATTTGTCTTGTTTCCCAGAAAATAAAAACTTGGCTGATGTTGTCCATTTGAAAGATGCACCTGATGTTGCTACAGGTAAATCTGCACTTGTAAATACGAGATCATTTTTGTTGCTTGTTCAATAATTTATCCAAATTTAGGATTGTGAAACCAAAGAAACTAAGAAAGTTCGATTTATTTAATACACAGTTTTTACTCTTCAACATTATGTATTTTCTAAGAAGATTGATAATGTGTTTTCATCATATGTTTCCATGAGTTTCAAACCCTACAATGTTATTCATTTGCATCTAACATTACATCCTTTCTCATTAAGGTAATGCTGTTAATGCTGAGGAGTTCAGGTGGAATGATATTTTGTCATCTCTTGAATCTAAAGATAGTGATAAATCCTTGAAGGACATTATTTTAAAGATTGAAGCAGTGCATGAACAAGTTCACAGATTGAAAACTCGGATTGACGTGGTGATTAATGAAAATCCAGTGAAGTTCACTTCTGTTAATAAGTTGAGTATGCATGAGCCATCTGATGGGTTGAATCATTTTGAAAGACATTCTACTTCTCCAGCAGGTGCTAGAAGTAAACACGCATTTCCTGCTAGATCTGTTAAAACTGAGTTTAATATGGGAGATCTGCTAATGCCTGGAAATGAAGTATCAAGTTGCGTAGAGATGTCTCCTCTTATTGAGACCACCTGTAAGCCTCAGCATGAGGTTCTGTGGGAAGATGTAAGTATATACTGCGAAGGTGATATCAAAATTTTCCCTGTCTTTTGCTTGTCAGTATTCTTGATGATTTTTACCTAGTATTTTGGGTAGCGTCTGACCTTGGAATCCCTTGGAATAACAAGTTTTCTACTGCATGCACTGTGCTCTTGTAAGTGCCATTTATACGATTTTATGTAAATGCCATTCTCCATTCTTCTTTCCTCCTTTAAGCATACTCCCGAACAATGATATTTTTTGCCCTCCATTAGCCCTTATTTACAAGTACTGGAAGGGAGATTATATTTTTGGTAAAACATCATGATGTGGCAGGAAATGAATGATTGGAATTTTGGAGTACTGTAGTTGCTGTGGACAGTGTGTATGGGGTCGATGGATTTCAGAGTTCCTTACTTCCTTAATAAGTATATTATTCCTTATACTCATGCTTCTTGGAAGCCCTTTCTGCTTTGTTTTTGTAATCCACATTCCATGTTTCCTGTCGTAGGATAGGATTCCTGTTAGCGCACTTGTGATGCTAAATGCTTTTGTGTGTGGCTTTTCTTTTCTGATACAGTTATGATTTGAAATTGTTTATTCAGTGACAACAATTTTTATGTTCCGATCAACAAACTGACCTGGTTGTTTATTGTAATGATAGTTGCGTTGAAGTATTTACTTGTTTATAATTGAAGCTTCACTCCAAAGTCCTCTTCTTATTATCTACAGACGAAGGATGGAGTTCTAATTCAAAACCATGTAGCTAAGGAAGAGCTGCAACGTTTTGAAAATGTTAGAAATGAGCTTGTGAAAACAACGGATGAGTCGTTTGAAGAGCGGAAATCCATTTCCCCAGTTCGTGTTTTAGAGCCAGAGTCGGCTACTGAGATTGCTGCAAACAATTTGCAGCCTGCTGTTCAAGCATGTTCTACTTTGAAGTCAAATCCTTCGAAGAACCAAAGGAGGAGACGGCGGAAATCGCGCTGAAAGGGGTGGTTCGGGTGCATCTGATTACAGCTAAATTATAGCAGAACAGTAGTTTTGGGTGGGAAATTTTTCCATCTTCTATTATCATCTTATGTAAATGCTAGTTAATATTGCGTTTTCTTGCTCTCGCATCAAGATTGGAGTTTATTTGTATATGATGTGAATATGAGAGTATACTATTTTTTGAAGGAAGCTTAGGGCATCTTATTCGATGGATCTCAATAAAATTATTAGGGAAAATTAATTTTTTGGTCCCTATAGTTTTTACTCATTTGTAACTCAGTCCCTATATTTTGACTCGGTGCAACTTAGTCCCTATAATTTTGACTCAGTTGTAACTCAGTCCTTGAAATTTGACTCATTGTAACTCAGTCCCTATAGTTTTGTATATTTTATAATTTAATCCTTGTGTTTTTGAAAAATAAAATTATATATCTAATAAAAGGAAGGACTAAATTATAAAATGGTTAAAACTATAGGGACTGAGTTGCAGTGAGTCAAATTTCAAGGATTGAGTTACAACCAAGTCAAAACTAGAGGGACTGAGTTGCACCGAGTCAAAGTATAGGGACTAAGTTACAAATGAGTGAAAACTATAGAGACCAAAAGATTAATTTTCCCAAATTATTATTTACCTTGCATGTTTGGAGGATATTTCAAATGTGATTATTTTGCTTTTGCCCCGAGATTGTTGCAATTATCAGTTGATGCTATATCTTTACCTCTTATGTTGGGAATTTGAGAAACTTTTTTATTTCATTAATCTGTTGCTCCGCCGCGCAAAATTCCAAGACAGATACGAAAACTATCATTCCCTTCCCCAGTCCCCTTTTATTATTGTAACCTGCCTCCCCGACTTCTCTAATAATTAGGCGAAGTGTCCTGTCGTAATGCGGAGCCTCTAGTGCCACTCCAGCCATCAATTCTACAACGGCCCCACCATTTTGGGCTCGGTCGGACTTCGTATTTGGAGACGCCTCCTCCGTCGAGGACCATCTGATCTGATGGTGGAGTGAATTATTTTGAAAGATACCCATCCTGCTGATGAGCCCGAGCACGATGAAAGTTTGGTGATATCAACTTTTTCCTCTTTTAATTGTGAATATTCTTGAATGAAAAGTAGTTCACACACATATTTAGCTCCTGGTTATTCTCATTTGTTCGTCAGTGTTCTCAATTACACTTGATGGATGGTCTTTTAGTTTGATCTCTTTTCATCCAAGTCCTGCAAAGTTAATGTTTAAATTGATTCCTATTGCGGTACTGTATTATTTCGCTGATGCTAGTTTGAATACAAGGATTCAATCAAATTATTACTGGCAATCCAATCCATGCTTATTGGGAAACAGCACCTAGGAAACGCATATAGACCAATGAAATTGAAACTTGGGACATGACATAGTTTGATTGATTGATTTAGGAAGAATGCTTCAAAGTAGTGGAGAGCTTGCATCCCACAAGAGCCAAGAGAGTAGCAGAAGGAACGAAGACAAGGTCAGGCACTACTTTCATGATTTTAAGTTGAGGCAGAGACTCTCCGGCTCTCTTTGCCGCCATGGCTGCTGGCGGAGCTGCCAGTCCTGTCAGAATCATTAACTTGTCTACGCTCCTCATGTTCACCTTATCCCCCATGAACTCCTCCAACTTTTTTCTCTTCCCCTCCTCGTTTGCTTGTTCCCAATCTTCGTATAATTTCTGTTCCCTTCAAACATGTCACAAATTAAAAACACTCTTTTTATTTTAAACATTCCCTGATTTTTATTAGAACTACAACCATCCTCTTTGTTTTCTCAATTACTTGAAATATGACAAATATTTTTGCTAAATGCATATTTTGTTTCTCTGTTCCATATTTCAAAAGCAGTAGACAATTTTTTTGCATTTTCTCAACCTTCTCTCTACGCCGTGCACAAAACAACATCCACATTTTGGCCAAATATGAGAAAATGCATACAACATTGCAGCAGGCGTTCAAAATTTGTTTTATACGATGTTATCTATTCTAAAAACTAAATTTTCGACTAACTTTGAACAACAGATATGTGTGGATATTGAAGTATGGATTTTAGATGAAAAACCCAATGATAAGGCAAAATCAGATCGTGTTGGAACGAAAACCAAATGAGAGGGTAAAATTAGCTTTCTACGGAAAAAAAATTAAATTAAAATATTTATCTAATCAGAAAAATTAACGAACCAAACTTTTAAAACCTTGCGAGCAAAATTTTTTAACCTAAAACTTTTTGAAGCAAAGCAAATCTTAAACTGACCTCGATTTCTTCGCGTTTTGGTACATCATAATGCCTGCCTGGGACAACAGTATTAATAGTGCTGCATAAAATTTACAAGTTAATTATGAAATATTTATCCAGTTTATATAATGGTTTTAAAATATTTGAATCTTTTTACAACAAAAGGTTATTTTAAAATGAGTTTATGCTTGAATAACAAGATTTTATTTATATCTTTTATAATGGAAGAATTGAAAAATTAGTGATTGACATGAAGCTTGGGGCGATCTGAGAGAAACAGAATGAAACACTTTGAAGGATATGGCAAAATGGTAAAATAGAGCGTACGTGATGATCTCAAGAAACGCCATGTGGAAATCATCGAAGTCTTTGATCTCTCTCTCCTTAATGAATCGATCATAGAGCTTATTATACAGAAAGCTCTTCCCCTGGGTAACTGAGACTGCACAGATTTGCAAAATATTAATGATCAGAGAGAGATTTTTGTCTAAACATGCATGAAAGCAAGAGAGATATTAATTGGGTGGGACTGTATCAGCATTATATAGATATATACGATATTATACTGAACCTTTGCCGCTCATGATACCGGCGACCGCTCCCATAATTTGATGTTCTGAGTTTTGCAAGCTCTGAAGCACAATAAGATGCCCTATCAGATCAATCGACTTTACACACACAGACACACACACATATATATAAATCCAAGGGCACAAGTTTAATTTAACAAGAAAATACGTAGGGCATCTCTCTGTTACGTTGGTTGAGACGTGGAAGCAAGGAATTCTTTCTCAGGCTTCAAATAATATCATCTGCTTTTCCTGATTCTAAAGTCCGATTCCGTGCTTGTAACATGCACAAAGGGAGGCATATATTGACATCGAGTATTTGCAAATATTCCAGCTTCAAACCACTTGCGTTGGTCATTCCATTCTCAAAACCATACTAATATATATGTACCATCTTTCCAAATAATAATCTCTACCAAATTTCAATTACGGAGCCAAAAACAAGCTCATCAGGATTGATTTAGCTTTCTACTCACAAATAAATCGGGTTACCGTAGAATCAACCTATAATTAAATAAAAATCAAGTACAAGCCGGCTCGTTTTCACCTCCACAGTGGATCCTTACTCATAATGTTCTATGAACAGTATGAGGAGTGGCTCCATTTTGGGTTGCGTGTATTTTTAATTTTGTGTAAAGATGAGAGTTTCCAAGATTGAAAGTTCCCTCCATCTCAATTCTCTCTCTCTCTTTTATTTCAAAATTTGCAAGATTTCTTTCTCATCCTTTTCTGGCTTCCTTCCCACGTTATATCCAATGTTTTAAAGTATAATAATTATAAAAAATAATATTAGAAATATATATGATGATATAAATATAAGTAAATACTATTCAGGTCATAATTATAATAGTTAGTTGACTAATTTGAGGAGATTAAGAAAAGAAGTTAAATTAGTTATTTGCAATAAATATGTGTTGTCTTTCCTAAAATATCTTTACTAATTAAGTGTATTGGCTATAACTATCATTGTTAAGAGGACTAGCTTGGGAAAAAAAGTATAAATATGAGAGACAAAGTGGATTGGGATATTATATTTAGGATCAAAATAAAAGTCAAACAAGATCTTATATTAAAGACCAGAGGTAATATAAAATTACTAGATATATATTTAAAGTTGGCATTAATATTAACAGTTTTAAATTAAAAATTAATACATGCAGAAATTACTTGAATTTTAATATAATTAAAAATTAATATTTAAATCTTGTAATGTTTATAATAATTTTTATCTTTAAAAATATAAAAAATATTATGATAGAAATATTTTTTGACGTAGTAATATAAATATTTTAAAAAATATTAGAAATATACATGATGATATAAATATAAGAAGCAAATATAAAATTACTAGATATATATATTTAAAGTTGGAATTTCCCTTTTTTTTTGGGTGAGCCTCAAATTTTTTGGTTACAGATCCTTTGTTAATTATTCCTCCTGTCTTAAATATAAAACTTTTTTTTTTAGTGTAAATAGTTTTATGAAAGGAACATTACTTTGAATCGAGAGTTAATTATCCCCTTCCCCCAATCGCACAAGAAATTAGTGGTGCTTTATCTTTTTCTACTTCAGCCTTCACATCAAGTGGAGCGTCAGATAAGCATGTGGCAGCCTCACGTTTGCACTCTCGTCAATTACAAATTAATAATGAAGGGTGGACGATCATTTTGTATAAACAGAAGCACAATAGAGCCATTTTTTTTTTCATCTTTTTTTTTTTGAATAAAAGGGAAGATATCTATTCATAAAAAAAAACACTGTACAGGAGAAAGATTTTACAGGAAAATTCTAAGAACAGAAGAATTCTTTACAGCGTGGCCAACTTTAATTCTAATGTTAGCAAATATACTTTCTATCGTGTAAGTCTTAGAGGTAAAAATGTAATGGTTCCTGACTTCTCATAATTTCCAGTAAGTTATACAAAGCCCAATCTTCCAAGAAATATCCAGACTTGAGTCACCTAATTTTTTATTGAGCCAAGGCATCATATCATTCCTGACATGTCTTGTGGAAGGACTTTCTTCCAAACTGAGGATGCTAGGATGCTAACGAGCAATTCTTAAAGACATGATTAATATCTTTTATTGATAATATCATTATAATTCAAGAAACTGTTCACTCCATGAGAAAAAAGTGAGGTAAAGAAAAATGGATGGCCATAAAAATAGATCTTGAAAAAGCTTTTGACAGGTTAAGATGGGATTTCAATATTTCATTGAGGACACACTACAGGATGTTGGTTTGCCTGGGAAAAAAAGAACTGATAACTTCTTCTTCTTATTTCAATGCTTTCATGTCACAATCTATTGGATTCATGGTTATGACTTCCAGTTCGAAAGGCGACTTACTGAAAATTTGCTTTATAAGAAAGGAGAGAGTAATTGATTTTCGGATATAAATGTACTGTCGCGCTAAAGAAACTAATTGTTTAAAAATTACAATCTTTAATATTAAATGAAAGACTAAAAATTCATTTGATAAATGAGCTACATTTTATGAAAATAATATAAATATAGTAAATAGCTATATGGGGGCACGCGCACACGCCTAAGAATGAACTAAGATGATTGATAAAAAGGAAAAAGATAATAAAATATCTTAAAAATTATTAAGAGATGACTTAGTATGGATAAATTTCAAAATGGTCCTAATACTATTTTAGAATTTTCAAATTTTGCAAAATTACATAAATACTCTCCACTTTTTTTTTCCTTTTTAAATTTTACCACCTTTGTACCATTTACTAGTTTCTAGCCACCGGAACTCCGGCATCAGTGACCTCGCTGGTGGCCTATCGCTGAAGCTCCAATGACTGATTATTAAAGCTCCGATGACTACTTTTTCTTATATATTAACTATTTATTTTTAGTTATTGACTACATTTTTTTGAGAACTTTGATAATTATTCTTGTTTAGTTTTTAACTATTCTAATATTGTGTTTGACTACTTTTATTTTTAAAAATTTAGTGACTACTCTTATTTAACTATTGATTATTCTATTTTCACCATTGACTAATTTTATTTTAAAAATTAAAAAATAGATTAAGTGTTGTAGATCTAGTGAATATTTTGTTTAATTATTTATTACTTTTGTGTAGTTAATAGTTATAAAAAAGTGGTCATCAAAACTTTGAAAACAAAAATATTTAATAATTTAATTAGAGTAATCAATAACTATGTAAAAATACTGATAAGGAGTAAGGGTAATATTGTCATAATAGCCATACATCCACTTATCTTAAGGGTGTTGGAGAGAAGATGCGGAAGGTGCTCATTGCTTAGTTTTTCTACATCTTTCTGAGTTGTTCTTTGCTTCCGTCATGGTAATTCTTTTCTGTTTCTCGTTAAATATTATTAACATGCGGCAAGGATTTTTATCAGGGCCGTGGATGTACTAAGCTGTCCATTCATGAATTATTCTGGTCCCTTGTTTCTTTTTGAAGAATTAGCATAGAGCTTCATCCGTCTATCAAGTGAATAAATTTGACGTGTTAAGCTTTTCTTCTTGCCTAAAGAATCTTAAGCGGGTTTACTTGAACTAGAATTTGATGCTTGACTTCCCATAATAAAGTGATACGTATGCATATCCATCATATATGTGCAAATTATACTAAAATTTTATTAAGGGAATGGGTGAATTTTATATTAAAATAGTCATAAGGAGTGGAGAAGGTAACTGTCTTCCTGCTATCTTGCACATTGCTCCATACCTCCTTTACATGCTGTGACTTCTGCAAACATTAACTGTAGCAATAATAATGATCATCTCCGCTGCTTATCATTGTCATTATACTTTCTAACCCAATGCTGCACAGCTTTTCTTGGATTTCTTGCCGTTGAGTTATAGGACTGTGAGTGGTGATCACCTTTTCCTTCGTGCTTTGCTCGGTTCCTACTAGAACTAGGTCCACTTGAGTTCCTACTAGCATGATTTTCTGAGACAACTGCAGCTGCATCTTTCTCCTGCTGTTCAGTAGATTCTTCGGTATATTCATGGCCCGGATTTGCAACTTGTCGTGGAAGGAACATACCAGGCAATACGGCTATATCTCTTTTGGGTTCAATAATACCACTATTCTCTTCCTGTATTTTTAATATGGCCTCAAATTTCTCCCTCCTACTGATCTCATGCTCACAATGAAGTATACTGTCATCAACATCGGCTTCTTTTCTGTCCAAACTCTGAATTCAAACAGAAAAGAGGTAAACAATTCGAGAGTAATCCTATCAGATTGCCTATCAATTTGAGAGGAAGCAACAGAACTATGGCACGCAGCAACAAGAGCAACACTATCAGATTGCAAACAGGTTCCTAGATATGAGTCATTTCTGCTCACACCATATATTTATCATCTAAACTCAAGGCCATTGCAGACAAACAGTACAACAAACCAATTTTAAAATCTCATTTACATTCAATGTTTTTAGGGATGAGTCAAATTACTTACCAATTGGGAAACATGTGAGTCGATGAGGTCAACCACGTGCTCTAAGTCCTTGGCATAAAAAGGCATACGGCAGACTGGGCAGTTTCCAACATTCTTATCTTTTTTTTCATCTACATCTAACCAAATAGAACAGAAAATCCTGAGGGAGACTTTCATGCCGATGAGTAGTTCAATAAAACATTCCAAGAATTCTTCCACACAAGAGAAGTCGCTGAAAAAGGTCTAAAGCTTAAGAAGCTGCACATCAATAAGAAGGTTTTTGAAATAGTAGCCTTTGAAGTCTAAAAGCAGGAGAATAAACATCATGGATGTAAGATTACTACCCACAAGCTAAACAATCCCGATGAAAGTGTGAAGGAGCAGAACGTCAAGCCATTCTCTCCATGATTCTAGAGCTCTTTGAACTGACAACCCCACCGGTGAGGACATCTTGGCATTGAAAGTAGAAAGATGCCAACAACTCCAGTTCTTAAGAGTTTGATTACTTTCTCAATGATAGTCTCTAAAGTCAAACAAGGTCCATAGAATTTGTTGCCATGATCAGCCGAATGTCCAAACCGGGCAGATTCCTTGTGGCTCATATGACAACAACAACAAAAGACTAACACAGTTTTAATTAATTCCTGGAGTAGTTCAATTAATGTAAAGTGATGTCTTTCAATCTTCTCTCTCTCTCTCTCTCACAATCTGTGATGTCCTCAAGGATGTAGAGGGAAAAAAAGCCTAATACAAAGACTTTAATCAATACAGATTCTTTGATCCTGATTTCTGCATACAGGTAGCTCTTATGTTCAGTTGTTACACATAAATGCGAATTATTCAAATTCCCACAAAACACTTGCTATAAGTTCCCAATGTAGACTGCAGATTTCGTCACGCATCCAGTCATTGGAAGAACTAATTATAGTGAACAATAGTGAAGGCTAACAGTGAAGCTTATCGTTGACACTACAAAGAATTAAAACAGCCAAGAGATTCTGCATGGAGGAACTACAAGTCAAGGAATTATTGTATGTTACTATTGACAAAGACCCTAAAGTAGACCTATATGAAACTTGAATATGCCCCCTTGCTCTTATTGCAATTCAGATCATGGAAGTCAGAAAGAAATTGGAAATCACTGGTATTCAACAGGAACCAACCATCCCTCAAACAGAATTTTTGTCACAATGGCAATTCATTGCCCCTCCAAGCTTCCATTCATATTTGACACTTAACACATAAGAAGCAAGTTAATATTAGATCTATGTGTAGACTTAAGAAAAGCGCCAATAAGTTTTAAACCCAAGGGTCAGGTCGTGGCAGTTAAAGGATGAGAAATAAGAGATTTTGAAGAGAAGTTTTTAAGAGGAAGGGGTTTGAGAGTCACAAGAAAATGCTAATATCATGTGAAAGGAAATGGCTAACAAGGATCAGAAGGTTGCTAAAGCAATTTTGAGTCAAAAGGTCTTGGTCAGCAAGATAAGGAGACCAGGTGGCAGGATGAGAGCGTACAAGAGAAAGTTAAGAATAAGAGAGATTGTTTTAAAGCCATACACTTATGTAATAATGCCGAAAATAGGGAAAGGAAAAAAAAGAGACTAAGAAGGCAATGAGTGAGGCTCGTTTTAAAGTAATTGAGGAGTTTTATAAGGAGGTAGAGACCATCCGGGAAACAAGAGATTTACAAGATAGCAAAGAATAAGGAGAGAAAATTGAGAGGATTGGATCAAGTAATGATGGGGAGGAAGAGGTTCTAAAGGCTTGTTGTTTTAGACTTAACATAAAAATTACCTTTCTCTGTTTCTGTATGATGGGTAAAACATGCAGTTGCAGCAGCAGAATTGGAGGATTCTGTTTCTCTCAAACTCTGAAGCCAATTCCACCATCTAGCTATACATTCCCTGCCAATTATTAGAAAACATTGGAATAAAGTCAATATTCCAAAATCTAAAGTGTTGTTAGCTGTTAAATGCAATTCAATAAGTACAACGGGAAGAAACAATCAGCCCACCTGTGAAAGCAATGGAAACATGACATAAGCTTCATAAAAGGAGAGGATTTATTTTGCAGATCTTCTGGAACTAAAGGGTACAAACACAATGGACAGTCACCATCAGGATGATTCATAGCTGAGAGTTTCTCCACCGCTTCCTACAATCACATTTCACTCATCAATTGATATTGTGCTACAAACACTTTTTTTTTTAATTTTTTCTTCTTAACTAGAAGATGATGAAGATCAGATTCTGTGGGATCCAGACACAATTTATAGAGACTCATCATATCTTTAAAAATCTTATTGGACACATGCCTAATTATCCTCCTTTAGCAGGGTTAAAATGGTGTTTTTAAATCTGCATATAAGGCCAAAATCGTTGAATCAAAGTAGAGAACATAGTGAGGCAAAGAAGGATAATGCTTAAAATGTAAAAAAGGTAGTTATCTTGGCTATTTTTTTATTTTAGTAGCTTCATTAGTCTTCTATATCTATTGTAATTTTGGCAAAGCCCTTTGCACTCTCCTTTGTCTTATTCTCAGCCAAAAAACTACAGGTCCATTAACATCAAATTACAAATAAAGTAACTACCTTAGCTATTTTATTTTAGTAGTTTCACTGGTTTTCTTCGTCCTTTCTTGTGATTTTGACTCATAGGGTAACCTTGATTATCAATAAATACTCAAGCAATTCACCTCATAATACCATAGAAGTGAGAATTTGATAGCCCATGGGACTCAGTAATGATAAAGCATGTGCTCTACATACTTTGTACTAAAACTTAGGCTACATTTGGTTAGCATGACGGAAATGGAAAGGATTTTGTAGCACAAAATTTGATATATGCAATCTCTATTATATCCCTCTTATCACCACAGAATATTTTTTTTTGGTCATTTTTGTTCAGGGACATAAAATACATTTCCCATCTAAAAAGTCACTTTATCATTCCATTTCCTTTTTCTTTCCATTCCATTCTCAGAACCAAACGAGGCATTAATTTTAAGAAGCAGGGGGAGCAACAAGAATCAAACTCCTCAGTTCTGACCCTTTGATCACAGATAGTCTGATACTACATCAAGAACCAATTCAATTCAAAAGCTTAAGCTGTTAAGCGAACGCTCATGAATGGTTTCATTACAACTTCCAGAAACAGGAAAGTAGAATTCCTTTATACCATTGCATATTGATCTATAAGGCAACTTCCCAAATCAATGATAATGCTTAAAATTGATTTATGAAATTTTCCCCACACACACACACACACTAAAGAGATATGAACTAAGACAAACATCATTATAAAAGGCAAACTGGATAGCAATTCAACTGTTACCTCACAAAGAGCCACAAGCATTAGGCACGGGGAGAGCTCATGAGCTTTGTCTCGTATGTAATTCATTAGCTCTTTCTGCCTCTGTTCATCGAGACCCTTGCAGTCCACCAGATAAATACAAGGTGGCTCATTTGGATACTATGACGAGGAACACACAAAGTCATGTCACGAGTATATATAATCATGTGCATACTGATTGGAAGATTAAAAAATTCCTCGTTGCATAATGATTCCGAACTAAGCTAAGCAGAAAATAACCAAGAGAAGACAAATTATAGACTAAACAAAATCAAATTGCTTGAAATTATTCACATAGCCACATCAATCGGAAATTACTTTGAGGGAGTAAGAAATATCCAAAGCTACTGCTGAAATGCCTAGGCAATAAGCTGTCTAAATTCTGGTCACTTGCGTGCAAAAGCTGCAGCATACCTGTGGGCTAGCCTGTATCTTTATAATGGCCTCAACAAACTGCAAAAAGAATAACAAACATAATAATATTTAACACATATATTCGCTCCAGGACAAAGTTTATGTCTTGAGACGATACAATTCAAAAAAGGAAGACACTATTTTACTAATCTCCCAAGAAATACAACAGTCTACCAAGTTTGAGGTATCTGGACACATGGATTGTTATATAGTTACGGCTCTTAATGCAAAGCTAAGCTTTTTATCACATTAACTTCACAAAACGTGACCCCTACTGAAGCAAACATCTTTTCCAATCCGCTCGACAATATTATGAACATGTTTTCGAATCCTTAATGAGTTACCGAACAGAAGAAGAAGTAAGAGAAAAAGAATATATGCTACTTGTTCCGAGGAAACATCAGCGGTTCTGGGCTTCAGGAAGATATGGAGATGGGGAGGGAAGGAACCAATGACGACGCAATCACTGCCATAGACAGCTTCCACAGCTTCAACTTCCGCAAGTACTTCATCCGCAGCCATCACTAGATAGAGAGAAGCACAGGAATTAAGGATGCCCCTGTTAGCTTCAGTCCTGGTCTGATCAATTGAAGCTTCTGCTTCAGCTTCGAACGTTCCCCCTCTCCCTCATTTTTTTCTTTCCCAAAAAATCACCCAAAAAAAAAAAAAAAAAAAAAGAGAGGAAACATTACACAAAATTACACGTGCAGGTATAAGGCTCTAAGCCAAAAGCCTAAAAACTTGGTTATTGATAAATCATTAAGGGACGTTTGGAAGCACCTAAAAATGCTTCTAAAAGCACTTTTCTGTAAAACAAAATAAACTCATTCATATATTTATTCGTATACCGTAAAATTACTTTTGAAACTATGGTTAATTTCACCCAAATACCCCTAAATTTATTTGACTTATTGGTTATTTGTAAAATAAATTACAAATTTCTCAAATTTACTCGTAAATATTATAAATAGAGAATCAAATTTGAAAGTAAAAGATTTATAATCGACAAATTGTAATTTTAAATGTTACCTTATAAATTATCATAGTGTAGGGCATAAAAATTTTATTTGAACCCAAATTACATGCTTCTCTGATCCTATTTATAAGTCATGTTTAACATGTTTCGCATAGATAAAAAAAACTTGAACTTTATTAACTCTCAGTTAAAATTCAATAACTTTTTAACTTTATTCCTATTTAATATGCATAATGTTTTATGTAGATAAAGTCGACACAATAATAAATGAATGGTAAAATTATACATCCATAGAAAAAAATTCTCTCAATGCCCTATCAATAATACAAAAAATGTCTTCTCTCTCTATTTTATAAATAAGATTAGAGGAGTAATTGATAATTTTAATTTTACCAATTATCCTACAATATTAATAGGTTAAACTAAAAACAAGTATCACATATTATACATATTCTTGCGTAAATTCATAGTTTAGATTCACAGTTTGAGTTTGGGGTTTTTGGGTCCGAGATCCTAAGTAGGGGCATTGGGGTTTATGGGTTTAGAGGTTTACAGATTTAAGGGCTTCGGCTTTAGGGTTCAAGTGCTAGGGGTTTCAGGGCTCAAGGCTTTAGGGGTTTAGGATTTTGGACATGTAAGGGCTTCAAGGTTTAGGATTTAAGGGGAGTTAAGGCGTCTGGGGTCTTGGGGGTCACAGGTCTAGGGTCTAGGATATAAGGTATAGAGTAAAGGGTTTGGGG